GGTTAAGCAACGCGAATGATGGTGTGCATTCGGATGGCCGTTTCAAAATACCATAAAATTAATTCCCATAATATTTCCTTTTAAATCTGATAGTTTTTTTTTATACAGCCCTGATAATTTTTCCTTATAGAGTCCTGATAATTTCTCGTTCTAGAGCGCCGATAATTTTTTCTTATAGGATCCTGAACAATTTGTTACGTACCATATAGGTAAATTATCTGACCTAATAGGACCTGATTAATTTTAGGGCATACTAATTAGATCCTTTTTTAAGCCGTAACAATTTCTACATGGAATGTTCCAATACCTTTTCGTATTTTGTATAATCTTTTCCAATCGACATTGACGCGAACATGTTCATCTCTGCTGATAACTGCGCAACTGTTTATCATACACTGCTTTTACACAGTCAGTAAGGCCAAAGCGTGTTCTATAAAAAAATTATGAACAAAATAGCACTTTCTCTCTTGTGGCATCTCCCCTAGAATTATCTTTTTAACTATTATTTATTATATTTATTATATTTATTATTTACTATTGATCTATTATTATTTATTATTTATATTTATTTTTATATTTATAATATATTTATTGTAACCGTACTCGCGAGTAACGGCACAACTTTTTCGCGTGCTCTGTTATATTTTTTACATAAATTCCCGTACGAGATGATTCAATAACCAAACAGAATTTTCGATAAGAATTAGAGCTTTTTTCAAAACAAGTTGAGCGCCAGACACGAGAGAGCATGCCACTATTTTGTTAATTTTTAATTATTTTACAATAATCACAATTCGCAACGGCAACAGGGGTGGATAGTTATAGGAGAGTTGTCGAAGGACAAAAGAGAGGCTGCCAACAATAACATAGAAATTAACAATAGATAACCAGTGTATTTAGCGGCGTTGATTATTACAGATAACTATAAATCTGAGTGTATGGCGGGTCGGCAACGAACAAAGATTAGTCGCTACTAAGTCAGGCAACCGGATTAGGCATTAATAACATCAAAACTCTAAAGATACTTTGACACGCCATACAGATGGAAATTCCGCGGCAACTAAGAGAAGAACAAAATCTATCACCGGTAGCTGTAGAGCTTGCACACTGACGCAACATAAAACGAAGCCAGAGCTTTACCGTTAATTTTTGTCGCAATTATCGAAGGTCTTGCTCGCAAATATAAAGACAAAGAAAGCAAGGAACAAAAATATATACAATACCAACTTGACTACGGTAAGAGCGAGCGCCAGTTGGCAATCGGGATCTTTTTCTCCAAAGAGTATTCGGGCGGATGGCACGTGGCTTGCAAATTATTAGCCTATATCGGCCACTTACAATCTCTCGAATTTCAACGCGCGAACCGCCCGTTGACATCTGGAATTTTGAGGTCGGTGACTTCACAATTAGGCAACGCTCGTCTGACCAGATTACTCCCTGGGCTCTTCAACAATCCGGCCAGAAACGGCTATCCTTTAGCTCTTTTTGTTTGTCCCTGAGTCCTCGATAATTTGTGCGCACGGAGGATCGTTCGTACTCTTACAATTTCCTCAGCTACAGTATAAGTGCTGACCAAGAGTTTTCCGCGGATTCACGCAAATCGTTCGGCCCCCCTCTAATCGGGGCCATATTATACGGGAGAAACAAAATTACAGAACAATATTTTAGCCGAGCACAGTCCGTCAACAGATCTAAATGCAAGACTACTAACTAAAAAAATTAATTTGCAACAAAAGAAACAAAAAGAAAGTAATTGAACGAATTATTAGCGCACGCTCGCATGTGCAGTCGCCCTCTGAGCCAGGAGGACGCAAGATCCCCCCCCCCC